TAGTGCCAATAACGAGGGACAAGAACAGAAGGATAAGAAAAGTATCGCAAAGCACACAGTGCTTTAGTTCTCTTCCCAAACTGTTCCACATGGCTTTAGTTTTTGGCACATTAATTTTCATACTTACTATTCTTTCTTTGTTTATACAATAATAATGATGCGCAATTCGCCCGTGAGTTTCTCATCAATACAGTGTACTCCACAGATCATTTATGGTCATCATAATTTATTTACCTTTAAGGGCCCCTCATGGGGCGATACTTGAGGAGGGTGGGGGTGTGACAATAAGTAACTGAGCGTCGCAAGGAGGAATAAATACTGCTAGGAAAAAGAAAGCAGGAACAAAAGAAATAAACAAGAAGAAATAAATAAAAAGAAGAAAAAGAAGAAAATTAGGAGGCAGATAAACTCGCAAGCAACAGGGCTGCTATTCGGCCTGCTGACAGTAGTGCTGCAGGCAATAAATCGTTAAATTTACCATACTTTCTTTCAATAACAATATCGTCGAGAAGTTTATTCCAATACGATATGGCAGTCGGTTGAAATGATTTGTTGAACACTGTGCCAATTAAACAGACGTCGTGATGATCTCGTGGGAGGTAATATTAGGCTCTCGCGTAGTTAAGGAATGTTATAAATATCGCTTATGAAAAAAGGCAAAGACTGGCTATTTTGCGACGGGATGCCAGGGGGGTTTGGCCGATCCAAGTTTTTATGCTAGTGACGCTCAGTATAAAATCATATTTTGAAATTATAAAACGAGCAGCTCGGTTTTGTATTGCCTCTAACTCCTGGACTAAGTACTCTTGATGGGGCTTCCAGATGGGGGTTCCAGTTTCGTAAGCCATTTGTCTAACTGTGGGTGAAGCAAATGTAAGTGACCGTCTGATGAAGCCTAATGATCTAGAAACGCTTGCAGAAAATGATGTGATTGATTTAGATCATTTTAAATTATCTGTGATTTCTACGCCGAGATACTTATAAGACTCTACCTGTGCTGGCATGGAGTTGTTTATCCTGTATGGGAAGTGTAGGTGATGATTCTTACGAATGACGTGCATAAACTTACACTTTGATACATTTCACTGCATGAGCAAGGTCAAGCACTACTTTTAGATTAATGTTAAATCATCCTGCAGTAACGCCCAATTGTTAGTAGCGGAGATACGTCGGTACAGAACGCAGTCATCCGCAAACAAACGAATGGTTGATGAAATTTGAGCAGGAAGGTCATTGATGAATATTAGGAACAGAATCGAAGCCAAGAATAGAGCCCTGTGAGACTCTGGAGATAACGTTTGTAGCTACAGATGGATGGTATTCAATGACGGTGTACCGGGAGCGATCAGTTCAAAAGCAGTGAATCCATGACAATATATGGGGATCAATTGAAAGGCAAGAAAGTTCAATCATGAGACACCGCTGAGGAACGCGGTCAAACGCCTCATTAAAATTCAGGTAAATGACGTCAGTCACGAAGAATGAGTCTAGGTTTAACTGTAAGTCAGTCGTGCATTCAACAAGTTGAGATTCGCACGAATATCCGGATAAAAATCCACGTTGCTTTGGGAAGAAAAATGAATTATGGTCCAGCTGCTTTGCCAGGTGAGAGTAGATTATATGTTGAACAATTTTGCATGCAATACATGTTAGATAGGACGGCAGTTATATGCATCAGAGTGGCTTCCTGCCTTGTAGACGGGTTCAACTCTGCTAACCTTCCACTCAGGCGGGATTTCGCCGCTAGAAATAGGCACTAGATATCTGTAAGTTTTCAATCAACTTATAGATTCCTTTTGTCGTAATACTAACTGGAAGCACTATAGAAAATTTTGAATCAAGCGGTACAGGAATATTTTCAGCCGCTTCGTGGCTAAAAACTGCGCTGAAGTAGGCATTCATAACGCTAGAGCGAAAATCTTTCGGAACGACAAAACCATCTTGATTTACTAAAGAGATTTTATGTGATACACTGTGGTTAGAAGTTAATATAGTCCAAAACTTTGGTTTAGGTCTGAGGATGTCGAGTAAGTCTGCGTTGTAGAAGTGCCGTTTAGTAGACATTCGAAGTATTTTTTCCATTTAGTTGCAAAAGAAGAGTGCTTCTCTTCCCGGAATAGTCGCTTTTTCTAGTTGCACGATTTTTCTAATGAATTTGTAAACCATGTTTTCCTGGCATCACCATGAATACAAACTAAAGGCACATATGATTTATTAACGAGATAACTTTTTCTGCACACGCAGACCAGCTTTCATCTACAGACCCTGTTAGGAGCCGATTGTTCAAAGTGCTGAAGAAATGCTGCCAATTCTTCTATTATTCTGAAAAAATCTGGTATTTTATGTACTATAGTCACGAATGTACTTTACTCAAGGCTGTCGTGAAAGAATTGCAAATTGCAAGGCTGGAAAGTTACTTAATTATGGTCGCTAAAATCATCAATGAATGATTATAATTGCGTTAGCTCAGGATTCGACACAAGGACGAGATCAAAAGTGTTACTGCTACAAGTTGGTGTTCCAACAGATTCAGCAAGATTAAAAGAAAGAAAAAGATCCAAAACATCTCTGGAATGACGCGAAGGTGCAGTTATATTAACCCGATCGATGGCTCGAATATTAAAATGACCGATGAGGTTAGCTCAGGGAAACTGTTTCTTCACATCAAGTAGAATGCAACTGACGTCGTCAATGAAAGAGCGATCAGAATCAGATGACCAGGTAGCAGGCTATGATTATAGTGGTGCGATGAGCAAATGAAATGTTTACACAAAAAATTTCGCTTTTACTCACAATTGTGACAGAAGAAGAAATGAGGGTACCATTAACAAGAACCATCACGCCACCTCCCCTGCGATCAAGTCTGTCACGCCGAAAAAAAGTGAACGATTGATTATCTTGCAAAAGTTCGTCATTTCGTATATCAGTTGTGAGCCACGTTTCAGTAAATATGGCAATGCGGGTGCTGTTATCTCCCATTAGAGGTTTGACAGCGTCTTTTTTTGGGAAGTAACTTCGCACATTGGTAAGTAAAACAGATACTGATTTATCTCTTGAGGCAGGGGTTGTAGGCATGGTAGTTCCCAAAGAGCGTCGTACGAAAAACATGGGTAACTGTTGTGAACGCTACGAACTAATCTCGACAACGGAATCAGTTTCAACATAGTAAACAAACTGTTTGTTGCTCATAATGAGCTTGCCAAAGTGGATTTTAAAGAAAGTAGTGCTCTGTTGCCCAAATGAAAAAAAGGATCTTTTTGCCAAGCGCACACGCGCGGAATATTCTTTCTGGATCGAAAAAGGGGAGGCTTTTTTTTTAGTTTTGAAGTAACAGAAAGAATCCGCTCTTTATCTTTGAATTTCATGAATTTCACATTTATTGGGCGTTTTTTTTTCCTGACTGAAAATGGCCAAGTCTGTGTGCTCGCTCAATATCTTCACTTTAATAGCGATGTCAAGTTCCTGAGAGCAGAATGAAAGGAAACACGACTCAGACTGTGACCCCTATTCATCCTGCTTATCGGCAGTATTGAAAAACAGCAAATTTGAGCGTCTCAGATGATTCTCAGCATCGTCGCACTTGACAAAAAGTAGCTGATATCTGAGGCAAGTTTATCAATAGTTGAGTAGGCTGCAGAGCTAGTTAATAAAGGTTACTAAAGTACATTCGATCAAATCCTATACCTAACCGTACCCAATCTAGGGCCTTCATAACCTCATGAAGCACGCGGGGAAAATCATTCGAGACGTCTTGTCTACCTGCCTCACACCCTTGTTTATCAAAATTTTTTTGTTCATTTCAAGGAGTTGTGGTGGCTGTGGAGCAGCTGTAGATTGCTTCACTATTTCTACATTTTGTTCATCAAAACCCTGCATAGCTGCTGAGGTTTCTACTGATGAAAATGATTTTCTTAATCGATGCAGGCCATTATAGGCATTGAATAAATCCAGCACGTTTCGCTATTATATGAATAGAGTGTGACTATGGTCAATTGTATATTAGCATGTATAAAATGCTGCTTGATATTATTGTTTCATTGAACTACGAGGTGGCTCTGATTCTATTGGTTTTGTACACTTTGTAAATAGCTTGTACATACCCAATTGTACATAAGCAAATGAATCGACTCACAGAGGCTCATCAAACGACGGCAATCCTACTGACCCAACCTTCTACAATGGCTGTTTTCGGACGTGGTGCACACGACACAAATCCGACTGCCAAGCCCACTGAGCCAAGGTTTGACCCAAGTTGCCGTGAAGAGGCTTACACACACACACACACACACACACACACACACACACACACACACACACACACACACACACACACACACACACACACACACACACACACACACACACACACACACACACACACACACACACACACACACACACACACACACACACACACACACACACACACACACACACACACACACACACACACACACACACACACACACACACACACACACACACACACACACACACACACACACACACACACACACACACACACACACATACGCACGCACGCACGCACGCGCACGCACGCACGCACGCACGCACACACGCACGCACGCACGCACGCACACACACACACACACACACACACACGCACACGCACACACACAGATCGTGAATCGGAATAACTCAAGCATCCTAACAATACTGAGAATGATGTCTAGGAAAGTATAGGCAGGGGGATGGGGGCATGGTTCTGACGTAAGTATGAAGAAAGAAAAGCGGACGAAAGGATAACTTGCTGCACCTCTGACCTTCGAATAACGTGTCCGAGCTGCCAGTGGCATGTTTAATCCCTTCGTCCACGTTTTGTTTTCTTCACATAAAATTACATTTAGGGCTAATAACGTCTTTATAATTTCTTTGCATCACTCACTGTGGTCAACAGTATTGTGTGTAACCAAAAAAATGCGAGTCTTCAAATTTCCACTTCGTTTCTTCAAGAATCCTAAGCGCTTTTGAATGCTCACCGTAGGTAGGCTGGTAGGCGTACGATGGGCGTGGAGCTGGGTAGTCGTACACTGGTCGCCTCTCGGGGTACGCATCCACGACTACCACTGCGTCAATAGAAGGGCTCAATCAGTACAACATCCATATAAACATGTAACGGCAGAAACTAACAGTGGCGCAATACAAGTCCCTGTCATCAGCAGCACCACTGCAACACTTCGCCTTTGCGCAACCTAGAAGATATCTTTTTTTTCTTTACTTCTCTCATTTTTTTTCTCTTTCTAACTGCAAAGATTGTGTCAGTCAGGTGGTGTAGCAGCGTCCTATGCAGGATTAGTTCGAAATACAGCGGTCATGGCACTGAAGGCCCGTTCACACCTGGCCTCGAAGGAAGTGACAGAGACAAAACTCACCAGAAATTCACTGGCTTCGCCGCCTAAGCGGAAAACCAAGCCACGAGGCCGTAACGCTAGAATCGGTACGAGGCCGATCTTTTCGCCTTGCGAAAGCGCATCCTCTCTTCACTTTAAGGGTTTGGCTGCACTAACTCAAACCACGTCATCTAAACAGCCGGCCACAGAATAAATATAACGACAATTGTGTCGGCGGTGGTTCGCATCGGCTCAAATTGCAAACTACCGGTGTAACACGACGAAACCTGACCGCCTCAGAAATGACGCGTTCATCCGCAGCCTGGTTTTGATTACCATCGCCAAAAACACCGGAAGTAAATAGTGCAGCAGTACCGAGTCGGCATGCCCGAACGTGTCTCAGCTTTGTGCACAGCTAGCTGGATCTGCTGCCGCTGCCGGTGCATTCGCTCGTGTCGTTTCTGCTGGCGTATCGTCCAAAGCAATGTTTGAAAAGGTGCAAGCTGTTTTTCGGTGCTTTGCGTGAATAGGCAGAATTTGGCACAAAATTCTGTGCTGAAAAATCTGGCTAAATAGAAATAATTCTCAAATTAGTGACTAAGGTGGCGGCGGTGCCATCCCGCAGGGGCAGACAGAATGTGGAGGCTTTCGACGTGTGCGCTCGTAGCTTTCCGGTGGCTCTGACGCTTTCCTTTTCACTTAATTTCTAAGTGTCAATGTGGCCAAAGACGGTGTGGAGAGCGGGACGGCAGCGTTGATAAAAACGGCTACAACAACAAGCGTGGCGTCATAAACGCATGTGGCCTCGCCACGGGGGTCTACTGGCTAAGGTACTCGGCTGCTGACCCACAGGTCACGGGATCAAATCCCGGCGGTGGCGGCTGCATTTTCGATGGAGGCGAAAATGCTGTAGGCCCGTGTGCTCAAATTTGGGAGCAAGGTGGCTAAGGACACTCGGCTGCCGACACGCAGGTCGCGGGATCAAATCCGGCTGCGGCGGCTGCATTTCCAATGGAGGTGGAGACGTTGTAGGCCCGTGTGCTCAGATTTGGGTGCACGTTAAAGAACCCCAGGTGGTCAAAATTTCCGGAGCCCTCCACTACGGCGTCTCTCATAATCATATGGTGGTTACTGGACGTGAAATCCCACATATCAATCAATCGATTCGGTGCAAGTTAAAGAACCTCAGGTGGTCGAAATTTCTGAGCCCTTCACCATGGCATCTCTCGTAATCATATGGTGGTTTTCTGGACGTTAAACCCCCCACATATGAATCATCAATAAAGCGCAAGTGGGCCATTTGCGGTGGTTATAAAAAAACAGTGCTTGTGAGAGAGAAAAAGAGAGAGAAGAATTATTACTGCAGGCCGAAGGATTGTCCTTGGGTGGAGCTTTTAGTTCAGGGCCCCGTTGGCTCGCCCCACACCATGTGCCCGGTTGATCAGCTGACGTTGCTCTTCTGAGCTGGTCAGCGCAGTCTCCCAGCAGTAATGTGAGGGTGAATGAATAGGGCGTTACTCCGGTGGTTGTGGAGATTCCCAAGTGCAGTGATCGTACACCGTAGACTTCACTCCACAATAGAGGAAGCATGAGGGGTATTGTGTGAGGTGGAAGGGATGTAAAAGCAAGAGAATGAAGTGGTCTGAAGCTGCCGCGAGGCAACAGCGTGCTCCCGGTTGAGTGATTTGTGCGATGGTAAGTACATATGGCTTTGTCGGTAGTACCCTAGCGTGTTAGTGTAGTTTAACGCTTCGTTCAGTGCATCGTCTGGGTCGGACAGCTCTTCCGATGGTTCCTGGTTTAAGCTCTCGAGCAATCGCGGTAGCACGTTCATTTCCGTAGAGAGGCGTGCCCAGGTGTCCAGAGGATACGCACCAGGTGTAACAAAGTGGGATCTACAGATGTCGAACTTATGAGCACCACTCCCAAGTCACCATTTCCACAGTGTATTTACGTCAGTGAAACTGTGACGCCATCGTTTTGTCCACTCAATATCACGCCTCCCAGAGGCGTGTTCGTGGGCCTTTGTCCTCTTTCGGACAAATTTTATCGTTCCACGTATGGAAACGTCTACTCTCGAAGGCGGCAAGGATGCACACGCAGCACGCTCGTGCAGCTAGTTTCGCTTCTACTTATATGGTGAATAAATATTGTCACTGCGTCGTGACGTCGACGAAGAGAGCGATTTGACCAAACTTGTGGCCTGTCAACGAAACGACAAATTACAGCATTACACATTAGCACTTATAGTGGCCAGCTCAGTGTCGACCGTCGATAGAATAAGTGGTGAAGCGCGTCGGATTTTATACATGTACCATCGAATATTCAAGGCCTGTCACTGCTCTTCCGTAAGTTCTAGAATAATCTCGAGCGTTCGCGTCCTGCCCGCAATCATAACAGAACGATCTACAATAATCGCGAACCTTCTCAAACAATGAACATTCCTGATAGGCTGAGCATTCCTGATAGGCTTTGTGGGTGAAAAGCAAATGAACGAAAACTGAAATTGAAAAAAGCTCGTGGAAATATAAGGGCATGTCGTAACCAAAGGAGCTTGCATCATGGCCGCAACGTGGTTGTGAGTGGAAATCCCCAGAGTGGAAATCCCCAGAGTGGTTGTGAGTGGAAATCCCCTGGTGAATTTGAATGCAGCACTTCGCATGCATGTTATTGTATAGGACACGCGTACTGATAAGATTAGTGTCTTTGCACAGCAGTGATGCTCAGTATGTTCAGGGTGCTTCATCCGTGAATCTATATGCTGTGGCTCTATACACGTCATCATGTTTGCACTGACCATCATGCTTCCAGTGTCGTCAGTCCTTGTAAAGCCTGAAGTTCCAAAAATTGACAGCTAACATAGAACCATAGTGGCTCCGTTCATATCTGTCCTCGGGGATGCCGAAAATTCGCTAGGGGCACCATTGTAAGCTCAAAATATAAAGCAAAGGGATCCACCATTTTTGCAAAAAAAAGTGCTCTTCCCTAAATAATTCAAGAGTAACATATGAATTCCGCGTTGTAGGTAGTACTTCTGAGCACTAAATTTGTTTAGCGACGTGGTGCCTTGCGAGTTCTACTATGGATTCTCTTATCTGTGATGGTGGCGAAGCGGAAAACATGGGAAGCCGCTGTTCGACAAAGGCAGCTGACGCACATAGCACAGTTAGCTTTCATCCGATTATTAGCGCATTTCTCGGCGTTCCGTTTTTGTTCTAGCATTTTTTATTCGCTGAAGTAAGTCACTGCAGTTGCTGTAGGTATAGTCGCTGTACCGCAGTACAGCGACTATACCTACAGCTGTATGATGCCGCATGAAGTGTCATACCGGCGAAGGCATCGATGTCAACAAGTTCCACGGAAATGACAGGTAGATTATTTTTGCCGGTGTGCGCATATTTCTTATTTCTTCACGGTAATTTCACTCTCACACCTTGTTATCGCTTTCAGCGTTGTGTATTTGCGTGCTATACGTTCATTTGCGCTGATCCTGCGCATGTTCTAATGATTGCGCTTCTCTCGACTTTCACTTCATCGCGGTTTCCTTGCGAAAAACCCAACCTCCTTGTGTCCTCAGCTTGAGCACACGATGTCGTACTGCAATAAAGAATGTAGTTGTTGAGCCAAGCTCGGCGAAAGCAGGAGCTGTAATTCGAAGCTTTTGCTGAAGCACCTCATGCTGGTTTTTACGACTGTTTGTAGAGATAGTTTCTACTAAAGAGACACACTTTCCTGTTCGTTTTGCCTCAAAAAACGAAGGCACGCCGTTTGCGAACTCACAATTATGCTTCTAATGCGATAGATTTTTGTTTTTTGCATTGAAACATGATTGCTAGTTTGCTGTCAATATATATTGTTTCCCGTACTCACTCGTAAATTGTTTTTACTGGTGCCAGGTGCCTATGAATGCCTTGCGGTTACATGTAACCTTACACGCAAAGGTACTGTGTTCCAAAGGGCGCTTTGGTGTGCTGCTGGGCGTATCGACGCGCCTAAATCAAGCGGACAAAAATTAAGGAGACGCTTGTATAGCCCAGCATAAGCTCCAGTCTCTTTCGTCCACTTCTGTTTAAAAAATCAGCGATAAAATGAAGAATCAGCCGAGGCAACCGCGTGGGTGCATTCCTGGTACGGAATTTTAAAAATGCAGCCCTGTTTTTTTTTCTATAAAAAACAAAAAAGTTAAATTTTTTTTCTCTTCCTGTTGACTCACCGCCATCTCTTGGTTGCCCTCGGCAGTTCTATGCGCCATCGCTGCTCATCTTGCGTACTATTGTTAAGACTACAGTTTCCCTACTCTAACTTGGTTCTTTATTCTATGGTGTCATCCCTATACGTCTGTTGCCCTCGTTGTGCATGGTGTTAGAAGCGACCCTTCGACGCAGCAGGAAATTGTTCCCGTGTCTAACCCCCGTGTTCTAGAACGTCTCTTCACTCAAAGCTTCGCCTCACTCGAGAAAGCCGATGGGAGTGCCCAGGGCAAGTCACTTCATATCATCGATAATCTGCTGCGATTTTTCAGCAGCGCAGTGCAATTTTCAGCCGAGTAGCGGCGAAGTGCTCAACCCCGTATTCACAAACGCTCCTCGACTTGACTTTCACCCTTCACTTGACAGAGTTTAGCACTACGCCGCTGCTCGGCTGAAAAGGACGCTGCGCTACGCAAGAATAGCAGCAAATTATCATTGGTATGCAGTGACTTGCCCTGCCTAGAGGTGGCGTTCTCATTGGCTTTC